AATATTTTGCTTGTTTATTAAATATTTGTTTAGAGCTAACATTTTGTTATATTTTAAACTTTTTAACGGAAGATAAATTATTTTATGGATTTAATTTTATATTATAATTACAATTATTAAAGAAAGATTCTTGAAAAATGAAATGATCAAAACTTTTGTATTCCACCTTTTAAGATTTTATTACCAATTAGTGTTGATAATTAATTTATTAATTAACTATTAATTAATTAAACATTTTTTTGATATATTGACTTCTATGATTGTTTTTTTTTCCCTAACGATAAGAACATGAACTTGTAGTTGATCTATATTTTAAACAAATATTCTAAATAAAATTGTTAAAAAGGAAACCTTTCAAATAAAAGAATACACTAATTATTAAAACAACAATAAGAAAACAATAGTACCAAAAAAAAATCTAAATCCTAACTCAATAAAATTGCTCAAAAAAGAACATTCCAAATAAAAAAAAAATACACTAATTATAAAAACAACAATAAAAAAAACAGTTGTAACAAAAAAAATCCAAATACTAACTATACACTCATCTTTTAGAATAAATATGCTAATTATTAATGATTGCTTGACAAATAAACTTTATGAAATTGTGGAACGTTAATGTCACAAACCTAGTATTCGAGATATGTAGATTCAGCACGTGCATCTCTTGCAATTTGATGAATATACCACTAATATCTCGAGATGTTTTCAAGATTGAATCATTTTTAAGAGATGTTTGAAGGAACTAAAAATAAAGAAATATTGAAAAAGTGTCGTGAAAAACATGTGGAAGAAAGTCTATTTTCATAGTAGTAGAGGGTAAAATGTTAAAAAAGTTTTCAAATTTTAAAATTCATGAAATTCTAGCATGAATTATAATTAAAGAAAAAATTAATTTTACGTTGTAGGAAAAACTTTTTATATTCTAACATTTTAAATTCTATGCATTTATTAATATTGATAATTAATAATTAATAATTAATTTAATATTTATAATAATATATTAATGAGATAGTTTGTAAATTATTAAATTTAGTAAAGAATAAAAATGTCCAAAAAAAAAATATTTTTCTTACCTCTTCCATAGATTTATAAATATAATTGCAATATTTCTTTAGCGTGGAGATTACGACTAATTTAATTATATCTTTTTTTTTAAGTTAAACTAATTTAATTATATCAACTCTAATAATTCATGTGTAGTTTGAATATTTTCAGGCCTGAATTGTGTCATTATCTCACCCCACCGATGTGGGATGGAAACCAATTTGGCTGCATCCTTCTTTATATCTTTGAAATTAATGGGCTAAGCAATAATTTTGATCATGAAATGTCAATATCAACATAAATGCCAAACATATAATGATATACATAATTATACGTGTAGAAATAGTTCTCTTTTCTTTTCCTAAGTGTAGAAATAGTTCTCTTTTCTTTTCCTAAGTATAACATGTGGGATGAGAATTCAAATCAACATTCTTTTAGTCGTTGATAAGTGTCTTAATCTGTTGAACTATGTTTAGGTTGACGTAGAAATATTTTCTTCTTTTATTTTTTTTAGGAAAAAAACATTGTTTTTACTATCAATTTTAATATTTTATTGTCTTTCACAAGAATGTTGTTAGATGTTAGATCTCCCCTTATTTAAGTTAATGTGAGATTTTTGTTTTATTCTAAAAAATTTTAGATGGTTTAGTAGTGAAATTTTAGAATAAGATTTGGACCAAAAATACAACTACGCTTGAGCAACATCTATGTCTAAATTTTTAAATATTTTATTACAGTACGTTCTTGAATTTTTAAAATTATATTAATTATTCCATTATTATCATTATTTGTGAGTCATTTAGTATAAACTTGATATATCTTTTACTTATTTACCTGATGAATAAACGTCTGCATCGATAAAGCTGAGTTTGGTTAAAATGACAACAGTCAACAATGATTAAAATAGTTTTATTATACAAAATTTAAGTGCTTCGATGGTAAATTAAAATATAGAATAAAGTAATAATTTCTATGTATTTAAATTTCACAAAGACATCCAATCAGAAACCTAAAACAATTTTGGTGTGGTACTGTGGAATTGATGGATACGAGCAAGCACCAAGGGGACAAAAGCAAAGAGGTGAAAAGCAAA